AAAATTGCAAATAAGTACCCTAGAAGTAAATTAATATTGACTAAGCTTCTAAAATAATAATTGGTCAAAATCATATTTTGGCCTTTTACATGGGTAATAAATAACATTTATATCTTGTTATTTATATGTAATTTAGGGGACTTAATTTATATTAATTTTATTGTAGGGTACTTATATATAATTTTATAATCTTTTTTGTAATTTTTGTGATCCTTTTATATAATTTTTACATCTTTAGAAGTAAATTAATTTTTACAGGCAGGGTGACCATTTTCAAATGTTTAATAGCAAAATTGTACCATATAAAAGTTTAAAATACTAAATGCTTCTAAGAGAATAATTGAAGAGTAAAAATGCCCTTTAACCTTTCTTAAAAACAAATTAAAATGAAAATTTGATTTACTATAGTCCTAGACGTAGAAAGGACTCTTGAGTACGAAATTTTAAATTTTAGTATGTATGAATATAAAAAACTCTTTTATTAATAAGAGAGCTACTCTCATCAATTGGACTAACTATACAATATATTCGAATCTAATCTGGCAATTATGGAAATTTGATTCCAAAACAAGGATGGTTCTGTACGTCTCTAAATAACGCTAAAAATAACACTCAAAAATGCATTAACATTATTGGCTCAAATTGGCTCTCATGAAGGGATCAGAAAGCATATCTAAGCCAAGAATGACTTGCTGGAATCGCCGGCAGTTGTTTTGACTCATAATTAATTACATTCAATATTCCAATATGTTATATGTACCTTATGTGTTGTTTCTTCAATTACTGTCCATAAAGCTTCTCAGGACTTATACAATGCTTTCGTGCACATGAACTGTATATGTTGAGAGAGGAAGAGGAAAACAGGTAGTATATTTACAAATTAACAATATTATTGCCTCAAACTCCTATTACGTATTATGATTTTTAATTTATCATTTTAGGCCATATTAATTTATCGACTAAGTTAAGATTTGGTTATTGGATTGCCCATAGACCCAAGCCAAGTTCGTGATTGACAGCCCTGAAAAGCAACAGGAATGAAAAAACAACTTGCAGCTTAAAAATGGTCAACCATTAGGCGAAAGAGTAAGACTTCAATAATTCCATATCGAATTATCACTAACAAACTAACTATATATATATATACTGATATGCGACAAGTGAACCTGATACCTATTTTTTTATTTATATTATAATTCTTAACTAATTCATACAAAATAAAAAAAAAGTTAGCTTGTTATTTTCAAGCTACCCTAATCTTTTCACAAACATTTTTAATTAAATGCAAATTTTAATCTCTTTCAACCCTCTCTCTCTGTCATAACTACCCAAAAATAAAACTAAAAATAAAACTATATATGACTTATGGATAAGGAATATGTAATGGAGGTACCATATTTCAAAATAATGAAATCTTGTTAAGCTTGTTTTGTCCAACAAAGCACATGGTTTCAAAGTTCAAAACTTACGCATAAACCTCCGATGTCACTACAATTAGTTTAATAATCTATTACCATCAGCTGAGTTCCTTACTTCGCAAATTAATATGAACATATGCATATTATTTGTCAGAAATACAGATTGTTTATATACTAGCTGGATTATACTTTGAAATCATCACATGAACATTATTCTCAAAGTCAATTTTATTATCTTTTTCAAAAATAAATAAATAAATGTGTGTGTGTGTGTGTGTGTGTGTGTGTGTGAGGATCCTTGCTGTAAATTTACGGAAATGAACGCTCATACCTTTAGAAGATATCCTAAGGAAGTCATGAGAAACATCATATATATAATATAGGATATGAGAATATCTTTTGCATGACATGAATATTATGGGCACCATTGATCACCTAAATGTAATATTCTCTCCATTCAGTATTATAGAGCACTTTTTTGAAGTATCATGTTTAAAAATATAGAGTATTTTGAGTCTTTCAATATATAATTAATATGATTTTTTTAAAAAACCCTTAATTAGAATTGTAATTAATAAGATTGTATAAATTAAGATAACTTATTAAATAAAGATAAACATGAATGATAGCAAAAAATAAAGATAAACATGAAAAGAATGAGAAATTTTAAATGAATAGAGCGAGAGTAACACTTGGGTCAAGAAATACCTTTCCCATGCTAAAAATTAAACATTTTGAGGTTAGGAAACCCCATTTATCTTAAATATGTACATGTATAGTATCATGACTAAGTGACATATATACATGTATGGTATCATATTTCTTACCAACATTAGATATATACTCCGTTCAATTCTTATTGTAAATTTTTTTTTCATCTAGTTCGTAATATTATATTATACCTTCTATTGGTATAATTTTTTTCGTAAATATCCTTCGTCTCAATATTCTTTAACCAACTAACTAGACAACCTCCTCTAATTAATGAACTTCATCGAAGATAATTTTAAAATTTTCAAGGTATTAACTAAATTTAATTAATTTGTAAAATTATTAACTTAATGTGTATACTTTTAACCTTGGTTGAATTGTAGAAGGAAACATATCAGATCAGATGAGTCAACCATGATCAATTGGCTGCTAGGAAGTGGATTGAGGCAGCTCTTAGCCAATCCAAAAGGTTAAACGAATCCACAAAGAAATCGATTCCAAACAAGGATGGTTCTGGATTAGAAGCATCTTTGACCCATTCACCTTACGTCTACTCTCTTCCTATAAATAACGTCGAAATAATGCTCAAAATGCATGCAGATATGACAGAAATATGAGAGCTTGCGAATATATGGAGGAAGAAGAAGAAGCTCATTAACGTTACGTTGTTGGCTCAGGTGCCTCGCATGAAGAGGTTAGAGAGTATATCTGAGCCAAGAATGACTTGCCGGAATCTGCCAAATTAATGGCAAAATTTCCAAGTTCTGGGTCTTTCCGGCAGTTGTTCTTGGCTCAAATTTGCTCACTTTCCTCTCATATGAGACTATCAGAGCTTGAAGTATTACTCATACTTCAAAATTTGAGTTATTATATCGTATCGTGTCAAATACTACTAACACTTCTGACTACTTTCATTTCAATTTTCAAATGTTACATTGAGTTTCTTGAACATAGATTGTTTGAGAGAGGATGACAGAGTAGTGGATGTGATACATGTTAGAATTTGTGCCTCAAATTTCTATCATAGTATGATTATTTTATGGTCATGCTTGTTGACAAGTTAATATTTTAGTATGATATCTATCATGTCCATGATTGTCATGATATTATTTGCAGGATTCATATAACAAAATCCAGTTTAGAAACTTAAATTCATTTTTTTTTATTTATCAAAGATCAGATAGTAGATTCATTGTAATCTTGATCTTGCATTATCGATTTTTTTTTTTTATTTGTTGCCCATGTGTTTTTTCTCCCTCATACTACGGGTTTTTCCATGTTAAATTTTGTTTGCATCCTTCATTATTTTTATGTTTTTGCTTCTTTTTAATTTTCAGTTTCTTAATCCTTCCAGAATCTCACTTAATTTTACTTTGATTCTTGGATTGATCGAATCTGCTGGTATGAAAAAGAGAATTAGAATGAGTTTTCAAGCCGAATTGTTGATTTATGAAAATTATGGAGTACCAATATTAGCATAAAGAATGCCTTATTGTATCAGTATTGAAAATCACCAGCTGGCAAAGTTCATTAGTCCTATAATGACCATCACTTGCATGACTATATATGTTTAGTCCTTTATATGTTCAAGAAACACAAAAAGCTTTCTTATTCAAGAGTTGACAGCATTAACTATTTAATTAGCCACATTTGAACACAAAAATTTTCAATGATACTCATCAAACGTCCACTGAAACGATTATTTGCCCATAATAGGCCAAATATTAAAAGCTGTTGTGGATAAAGTAAAGCATATTCTGAGTTCTGACACATTCCTTCAATGATTTTGCAGCGCAGAACTGAAAAACAATGCAAAGCCACATTTTACAATTCCATTCCCATGAGATAAAGTTCTTCAATGCTAACAAAGTCTTCAACAAATTATAGTCACTTCCAGATTTCTGAGCCTGAGTGAAACCAAAGCAAAGATGAATGATGGGAGCATTTAGTGAGAGTTTGACGAAGTCATATAGATCTCCATATGCTATCGGGGGAAATTCTGAAAAATTGGGGCAGATTATATACTCATCCTTTGAGACTCCAAATTTCAAATGCAATTGGATTCAGAACCAGAAAGCTATAGAATCTTATATTTTCGATTCTTTTTTTTTCTCTTTTTTTTTTTGTGTAAGTATAAGGAGCAGGCTCCAATGAGAGTAGAGAATACCTCCTCCAAGATATTGAGAAATTGAGAACAATGAATAAACCCATTCCAACTAAATTGCTACATACATAATGATTATGGTTCGAACCCCCAACTATTTGTTTAAGTAATGAAAGCCTTTATCATTCATGCTAATTTTAGAAGGTTCTTTTTGCTTCTATCAATATATATATATATATATATATATAATCTATAGGAAATCGCACTATTTCTAATCATGAGCAATGTGTCATTTATTAAATTACATGCAATACATATGACCCACATCTAATCTAATACAGTCAAAAATCAAAGATATCACATCTAGTTTGCCAATATAAACGGCCATGTCCTGTTGCAAGTCATCACACAATGTATTGAAACTCATTAAACCTGGAAATAATGAAACAATTTTAAATTTTGATGACATTGTTCAAACAAATACTTGAATTGGGAATGAATCTGTAGATAAAGATTTTGATATCATTCCACAATTGGGGAGACGTGGATAGCAGATGAATTAATAAACAACGTTAATAAACATAGTTGTTGACAGTGAAAATGTTAAATGGAATGATTTACTGCTGGAACTTGGAAATTCAACCATACTATTAAATATTTGTGAAAAAGAATAAATCTTAGCTCAATGTCAATACATTCCATCCATTATAGTTTTAAAGGAATAAAAATTGATACAAATAAAATACAATTATGACACTGCCACATAGTAAAGCAAGTGCGGTTATTCTTATTCAAAATGTAGTGTCATGTCATGCTGATATAAATTGCAGTCAACGCATCGAATATATTAGTAATTCATATTTCAATTATCAATACATATTCATATCTAAAGTTTTGCCCATAAGATGCTACATTATTCTGAGAGATCTGTTTCTGGACAAAATGCACCAGCCACAAGCAGCAATAACAATGATCTCCCTTCTTTACTTTGTTCTGAACCACCGTTTTCTGGATAAAGTTATTCTGTAACAGTATCACATTCTTAGCAATCTCATGCCTCCTTAACGTGTCAATTCTAGAAAGAGGTCTCCCATATCTTCTTACCCTTTTCGCCTGTTTTGAAGAAAATTTGAATTTTGACATTGCAGTTACATTTTAAGATACCATCATGGACATCGGTGTGGTGTAATACCAGCGTACATACCTTCTAATTCCCATCACAGTCTTGTGGCTGCTTCAGTCACTTTCCCTTGTAACTTCTCACTGAATTTAGACTCTGCATGATTCAAAATTCAAAGCTAACGAGACGTGGGAGCCATACCATCTACATGAGAAAGAAGTGGATTATGTGTCCTTGTGTCGTCAACTCTTGCTTGTACCAAACAGATAAACGTCCCAATATGGACATTGATTCCAAATAAGGGAGGTTCTGGATAAGAAGCATATCATATGTAGAAAATCATGTACAAAAGAATATTATTGAGCCAAATCAATTATCTTTATCAGACGGGGAATTCCACCCGTTGACATCTGCTCCTGCTATAAATAGAATTAGTATAATGCTCAAAGTGCATGTAGAGAAAATCTAAAAGCTTATGGAAATGGTCAAGAATATCAATGATATTTGCTCTTAGAGCCTCACACGAAGAGGGAGAGAGTATATTTGAGCCAAGGATGACTTGCCGGCATCTGCTAATTAAATAGCAAACTTTGCCATCTCTGGCTTCTGCCGGTGTCGTCCTGGCTCAAGTTTGCCCCCTTTCCTCTGTCATATGAGACTCTCAAAGAGCTTGTTCTTTGCCCTTCTTGTCTGAGTCATATCCTGCATGATTCATATCTGACATACGTGTTAGATAACTAAAACTTACAGTGCAACATATTTGTGTGTTGTGCCCTGTAAATGTGTCAATGTCAGAGCTTCATCACAGCTAGTTGAATGCCTTTGAGTTTCATAAACAGTATAGATTAAGAGAGGAAGACAGTAACAGAATAATGCACAAAAGCATAATTTTAGTACCTGGTTTATCTAATATGAAGAGATTAAAAAAAATTATGAGAACCAATAACCACGGGGCCATCTTTATTTCTTTCTTCCCTTTTTCTCTTTTCAAGCTGCACTAGTCATTTTTTCTTTTAGTTAGCTGCACTGGTCAGTTTTTAGTATCATGCTAATCTAGATTGGGATGACAACATACATTAATATTGAACATAGCTTGCCCAGAAGAGTTCCTCAAATGTTCCTATAAATTATAATGACCATTACTTGTAGAATTATGGTTCGTCTTTTATACAAGAAAGAGCTTTCTTATTTTCAGAGTTGACAGTATTAAGCAATTTGCCCACCTTTGAAAACTAAATTTCAATGGTAGACAAACATCAACTAGAACAATTTCTTTTTGGCCCCTAATAATAGGCCAAATATATGAGTCCCCCCACCCCTCCAAAAAAAAAAAAAGGATTTTGCCAAACAGAACTGAAATACAAGGTCAAGCCTGAATCTTGTTTTGTAGTTCCATTCCCATGAGATAAAGTACTGCAATAATTTAATCTATTGAAGTCTTGAACAAATTGAAAAACTGTCGCTTCCAGATTTCAGACTATCATTTGCTTCTTAAGGGCTTAAGTCAAACCAAAGCGAGGATGAATGAAAAGGGCATTCAGTGAGAGTTTTGTGAACTCAAATGGATCTCCAGATACTATGTTTGGGAAATTCTGAAAATTGTGGCAAATTATATACTCCTCCTTTGACTCCAAATTTCAAATGCAGTTGGATTCAGAACCAGAAAGCAATAAATTTTTTAGTATATAGATTGAATGGTGTTAAAGCCTCTTGTCAATATTGCTACAGCATCTAATATTGTTTAAGATCATACTATATAATGTAAAATTATCTTATCTTTTCAATTCTGTCTATATATATAATATAGGAAGCCATACTATCCCTAAGTTATGAATAGCACGGCTATCTCTGAGACTTGATGTAACACTCAGAACCACTTCAAATTCATTTAAAAAATAAAGCATAACCCATCTAGCTGGCCAATACAAATAACCATGCTCTGTTGCACATCATCGCGCAATGTTTTGAAAATCATTAAAACCTAGAAACAATAAAACAGTATGAAATTTTAATGACATTTTTCAAACAATTATTTGAATTGAGGATGAATCGGTAAATAAAGACGTCGATATCATTCCACAATTTTGGGGAGATTGATAGCAGACGAAGCAATAAACAGGGTTACTAAACATGTTTGTTGACAGTATAATAATAAATGAAATAATTTGTTGCCGAAACTTGGAGATACAATCATAATATTAAATATTTGTGAAATAGAACAATTCTCGTCTCATAGTCAAGACAAGCAGTCCACCATACTTCTATTCTAATTCGAAATGTAGTGTCATGCTGATTTAAATTATAATCAAGGCATCGAATTTAAAACTGATTCGTTTTTTAATCATCACTACATATTCATATCTAAAGTTTTGCCAAGATGCTACATTAACAGATTTGTTTCTTCACAAAATGCACCAGCCAGCAACTGTAACGATCTCCCTTTTAACTTTGTTCTGAACCAATGTTTTATAGATAAAGTTATTCTGTAAATGTAATAGTGTAATAGTATCGCATTCTAAGCAATCTCATGTCTGCTTAACGTGTCGATGCTAGAGAAAGAGGTCTCCCATCTCTTCCTACCCTTTTTGCCTATGTTGAAGAACATTTGAATACTGATACTGCAGATACATTCTAAGATATCATCATGGACAATTCATGAATAGTGCTTCTGGAAATAGGCCATAAACCCTACCATTTGCAAATGCTTCAAAAAAAAAACAGGAAAGGAAATTCCGAGTGTCCGTTCCCTCTTACCTGAGCCTTTGACCTATCCAAATATTATGGGCATTCTAAGGTGACCACTCATCTTTTGCAAGATTCTATGCCCACAACAGGGGAATCCAGCAATGAAGCCCGATGAGTAAACGACGGGTGGCGAGTGAAGACCCCAGAAGAAATCGGAATACATCGACAAAAGTGATGCTTTTCATCGAACAGATAGAATGCAGTATTCATGATTGCCTTTTTAAAAGAAACAATAGCCACTCGCCTCTTCCGACTAATTTTTGAATGGTGGGTCGAATTGAGAATATTGGGGACCCTCCAAGAGAATCACTAATTATTTCCCACTAGCTCCACTGCCAATATATACCGTGGCGTCAATCAAGCAAGATATAGCATGAGACAGAGAGATAGATGTGAGAAGGACAAAAGAATTGTGAAGAAACCACCATTTGAGGTTAATGTGTGGTCGGCGAGTTTTTCATGAAGAGGAGGAGAGTGGAATGGAGCCAAGGATGACTTGCCGGCGAAGCAAGCTCATAATAGAAGCTTGCATTGATCCGGTGGGAATTGATTTCCCGGCAAGTCAATCCTGTGGCTACGTTTGGCTTTCTTCTTCTCATGTGAGACTCTGATGATCCCTTCTTGTTTGTTGGATTTTCTACAGACGTCAGAGAAAGATGCAAGGAACAGAATCAGAGGACCAAGTAGTGGCAATTGCTTGTATTTTGCTTGGTCAGATCAATCAGCATTACAAAGTCTAATGGTGATGAAAGGTCATGATCTAGTTTTGAAGTGCTTTTAAATGTTATGGTCATCGAGTATCAAGTATCAGTCTTTTACAGTACCTAGGCAAAATATAGCATCATAATTGTAAAATGCACGAAAGCTGCTAATCATGAAGTGTTCTAATAACTAATCATAATTAAAACTAAAATATGAAAATAATAATTGTGTCATGACAAATGTTAATATTGTTGCTAAACTTACTTTAAAAAAAATAAAATCATTGCCATTTTTTATAGTGTCATTATGCTATATAAGGTTTAGACAAGTTTTATTATTGTTTTTAAATTAAACCATTTATATGGAACATGAGAGAAGCCACGTTATTCATAAAATGATTAGCAATACGTTTTTATTTTAGCTTTTGTGTAAAGTATGTAGTCCATGATTCAGTTTAATTTAAATATGGTATAAAATGGGTTAAATCAAATGTATATTCCATATTTTTGCTCCAAAAAAAAAAGTATATTCCATATATCTTGTAAACATCAAATCTTGTATGTAGGAGTAATGAAATAAGACAAGATGGTGAAGGATGAAATAATTGGCACCAGAATGTGGAACAAGAGGCTAATAATATTTAGGTAATAATTTTCCCATGTTTTTTTCCATGAGATCCTAAAAAGAAATTGATTTGATTGTTTTCAATGAGATTCCAAGTTTAAACATATTGTCAATATATTTGTGTGCGTGCGTACATGCATGAGCCTTCCTCTTGTAAAAAAAGGTTAAGTGTAAAATTTTAAAACAAGAACTTGATTTTTGAATAAAGTATACTTTTAGTCTTTTAATTTTATTTAAGGTTTTAATTTAAACATTTAATTATGTAAAGTATCTTTTTAATTATTTAATCATAATTACTTTACTTTTAAATGATTATTTTTTATATTAGTCATTATTATTTTAAAAAAATTAAACTTAATATATCAATATTTAAGAATATTTTGTTAATATTTGAAAGTTCAATACAAAAATTTATTAGGATAAAACTAACAAGTTTAGTATTAAATGATTAAAATGACACCTTATAAAATTATGAGACCAAAATGAAATATTGTATAAAGTTAAAGAATTAAATATATACTTTAATCTTAATTTTAAAAAAATTAAAGAAAACATATGTGATGGTGTGAAAATAATGGGGTTATTTTACATGTCATCTTTTCAAATTTTTGTAATCAGAACCAAGAACATGAGTTTGATTAAAAAAAAAAAAGCGCAAATCAAGAATATGAGTTGGGCCTCTGGGCCAGTCCAGTTAACCCAAAACTAAAAAGGTTGAGTTGCCAAAAATTTTGATCTAGCCCATTTAACCTGTGTATAAGTGGCCCAGCCCTTTTTTGTTTTTTGTTTTTTTGTAATATCAAAATATCTGTTTGTTGGTTGGAGCTGTAGCTTGTGTATAGTTGTAGTTAATTATGTATTATTATTCCCATATGCTAATTCATGTATGTTTATCATCACTATTTCCACTCGCTGAATTTATAATATGTCAACCTAAACTTCTGGTTTTGTCATGTAATTGATTGATGTACTTGTTATCAAGAACAAAGGTATGTTTTGCATAACAACTAGCTAGCCTATCATTATAATAAAATGATATTATCTTTGTTTTAAATTATAAGATACTTTTAGGAGAGATTCGACATCTTAAAATATAAAACATTTTGATAAAATAAGATTTTATTAATGATATTTTTAATATTATTTTTTTTCATATATTCTCTTTCTTTAATGCTTTTGTACAAATTGAGTATTAAATGAAAAGCATTTTTGAAAGTTTATATTTTTGTCTTGAAAAAATAAAGATGTAAAGTGTATATAATAAGCTTTATTAATATATATGATGTTGTCTAAAAGTGTCATGTAATTTGAAATAGAGGAAGTATCACAATTCAATGTAAAATTAAGTTTTTAGTTATCAAAAAGTTTCATTGATTGATCAGAATCATACAAGAGACTAAATTGGTCGTATGAAAGGATATGATTAGTTAGTTGATGTATGAGATGGCTCATAAAACTCACCAAACCTAGGTTAACTTAACGAAATCTCATCTAAGTCTATTAAAAAGTAGAGCTTGAGTTAATAAGTTTTAAATTTTTTGATAAAATATATTTAAATTAATTTATAAATAGGATTAGAAGATATAGAGCCTAGCTTAGTAAATATTTGTTGGGCTTACAGTGAACTAACAAGCTCATATATATCCCGTTGGCCTACATTCTTTTATTTTTTATTTTTCTTTCATGTGTGTGTGTGTGTGTGTGTGTGTTTACAAGGCAGGTCGAAGCTTGAATATCAAAAGCAAAAAGCCAAAACAATTACTTATGACTAACTCCATCACTCATGACCATATTGGTCAAGCTTGGGGGATTTGAACGAATTAGTTGGATTCCAATTCCAGCACCATGAGCCTGTTGTGCTAAGTAGTCTGCACATCGAATTATATCCCTTGGTGAATAACTTATAGAGTAACTCTCTTAATATGATTTGTCTGGGTTTTTTAGATGTAAATTGAAAATAAAATAAAAAAATATAATAAACTTAAATGGATAAAATGGAAGAATGGAAGAATGGGTTTTTTAATGATAAAACATAAAAAATATCTTCATAAATCAAATTAAAAAATATTTTCCTTTTCTGGAATCTCCAAGTCCCCATAATTATGATTCTATCAAATTAAATTCTTTGATTTGAATCAGAAATAATGAAAGCAAAAGGTTTTGATTTGATAAGATTGGGTCATTGATGAGAATAAACCCTAGTTGGGTCTACAAAAGGGATAGGAAGAGGAGGAAAAGGGTGGGGGAAAGAGAAACTTTGAGAAAGGGAAAAGAAGGGGAGAAAAATATGGAGAAAGAGAGACCGCCGAACTAGGGGAGATGTAAGATTGATGGAGCAAGGAGGAACAACAACGACGAGCTAATAATAATAGCCTATTAAGAATGAGAACTACATTGTGTTTTGTCATGTTGGGTAATTTGAGATTAATGACTTTGTACCTTATTATTCATTATATGTGTGGGGGCCTTTCTTTTATACTGCATCATATTAATAACGTGAAGGCCCTTGGTGGGAATATGAGTTAGCTTTTGTTGTGTGATCTAGTCATGAGAGACCACTTAGGTCTACTGCATGTACATGGCTTCAACGACACACTTCCAAGTGGTTGATTGTATAATCACTAAGTTTTGTGTATATGCTTTAAATTTAGAATAGAACATCAAGATAATTGCATTCCGACTTTGTTTGAATGAAAATATCTACTATTCGTTTTTTCCTATGTTCTAGAAACACAAGAAACCCATTGTTTGTGTATCGAATAAAGAGCCTTACGGTAACTAATGGAAGAAAATAAAGGAGAAATTGTGGTGGGTATTTGAGATTCGTGTATATGTGTATTATGATTATTTTTTTTTACGTCCTCACATAGAAATGTAATAAGATTAATTTGATTGTACCTGCTTGATGCGCACATTCACATTTATCTCTTCTTTTCATATTCCTTCCTTTTATTTTAATTTCCTTTACTTGAGAGTCCTTCATGAGAGAAAATAAGTCTCTTTGAGAGTACAAAGTGTTGCTCAATGACCATGAGTGATATCAAATCATTGTCAATCCTCATAGTGATTTACTATGAATAACACTAAGTTATCATAGGTAAAACAATAAAATTATTGATATATTTTAGGCTATATCATGAATGATATTAAGTTATTGTAGATGCCTAAAAGCATCTAATGAAATACTATAAATGACACTAATTCATCCTAGATACCAAATTTTGCATTAAAATTTTATAATTAAATTATTTTATAGAAAATTTACTTTGAAAATTCCTTTAAGATTTGCCATGAGTAATACTAAATCATCGTATGCATTTAGAGTGTCAACCAATAGATTTTGAGTGATACTAAATCATCACAGATTCCAATACTAATTTTTTTTCTCTTACCCAAAGGTACTTTCTTAAAACGAATTTTAATTTAAAAAATAAATAAAACTATATATACCCAAAATAAAATTCTTTTCAAAAAATAATTAAAATTTTTAATTAAATAATAATGTCTCAAACCATGTGGACTTTAATTTTCATTGCAAGGTATGTGAGCCTTATGCTTTGATCCTAAGTCAAATCCACCTATGTAAATAAATAATTTATTTTTATTAATTTTTTATTTTTTATCTTTATTTTTGCATGTGATTAAAGGGTAATTAAGATATTATTCAAAGGCCAATTAATTGTATGCAATCAACTTAGGATAATTGTTCTTATGAATAGGTGTAGTGGAGTGTCTAACACTTTCCTCACACACACTCGACTTCCGAACCTTTTTTGTAAACCATCCTTTATATTATGTAATTTTCTAAGCTTCTTGAGAACTTTGGTGGTGATTCTTATTTTTCTAAACCTATCAATCTTCTGTATCTAGGAAAGTCATGATGAAGGTGCAATAATGAGATTTAAGGCTTTCAATGAATCTGAAAACAACTACACATTACTAAAATGTTCATTGTGACATAATTCAAACCCTATTTTGATGGCAACAAGTTTAGCTTCACTTATTGATGCAGTGCCTATCTTCAATTGAAATCCTATAAGCCAATTACTTATAGAGACTCTAATAATGCCTTTACAAGTAGCCTGACCTACATGCTTGATCAAAGCATCCATATCAACTCGGACAAAGTTTGTAAGTGATAGGATCTAGGTGGTTATCTCCTTTGTTAACTCTTAGAAAACTGCATGAGGGAATGTATGCCCTAATGCCTCTTCTATGGTAAGATACAAACATTAATGAAGAATGTCCTCATGTGTAGAAACTTGTCCTTCAAGTAATTTGCTACAACTAGCTTTCCATAATAATAAGAAAGTATAACAAA